CCCCCCGAGGTCACGTGACCCCCCTCCCCGAAGTCACGTGACACCCCCCCCCCCCCCCGAGGTCACGTGACCGCCCCCCCGGAGCATATTAAAGAATGAGGGGAGGAGGAGGGGTCTACCCTCCCCTCAGTACCCTTCACTCCTCCTCCTCAAGAGCTGCGCTCCAATTCGGCGTTACAGGGATTTGTAAACGGCTTTCACTTTTTTTTTAAGTCAGTTACACGTGCATTAGCTATTTTAATAAGTTGTACCACGCGGTTATCAAACCTCTCGTGAAAGTTAGTACCGTCAGATCGACGTCAGTGCGCTGTACGTCGCACTGAAGTTTTGGGGTGTCTTATATGGGACAAAGGCTGTAAGAATGCACCCTTTGTTTTTAGAGTGTAGAGTGCCCGGTCGCAGATCAGGGCGAGGATCTGGTAACACAGAGCATTAAAGAGCCATATCTCGGGGAACCCAGAGCCCTTTATACTGAGAACGTTTGGCCTTCTTAAGCAGATTTTGACAGCCTAACAACGACAGCAGCGTAGTCTGACAGTCGGGGGATGACTACTTCCGTCCGCCATTTTGTGACTCTGACTCAAAGGAACTCTACGCGATTTCTCAGGAATAATAAAAAAAAAAAAGTAACGTCATTCTGTGTTTCGCGAAATCCGCTGGTTCTAGCGGGTAACAAGCTCCGCCCATTGGCCAATCTTTCTCGGTATAAACGGCTCTGGGGGAACCTGGACATCCACGCACAGCTTTGGCAGCGCCGATGACACGAAACACACTTTTTTGCTCGGGCGAAGTGTGCTTCCGCGTCTCGCCGCAGCATGGCGCCAGTCACGCGGCTCTCCTCTCATCCGTTGTCTGCCACTCCACCTGTTCCATTTCGGCGGCCGCTTCTCGTGGCGATCTCCCAGGCTTTGTCAGTATAGAGGGGGCTATGACACTGCAAAGGCTGGGGCACGCGAGCGTCTTGAGACGTGCATGGTGTGAGACCTGCTCACCTCGTGCCCCGGCTTCGGCACTACTTTCTTTCCCCAGTCTCAGCTGAGGCGCTGTTTCTAGCAAGCCGGCCCAAGTGTCACAGTTCATTTGCCGGTATAGTCAACTAAACTCTGACACCACTCCACAGACGATCTTATAATACTACTCGAGATTCCAACGGTGCGCATCTAATCGCCGTTCCTCCGTTTGACATTTTCGCCGCCAGGCCACGGACGTAATCGCTGCACGTTTCGATAAGCGCGAGCTCCCCTGTTGCAAAGTCACGCCTTTGCCACCGGTCGGTGTCGTCCCCTCCGTAGTTGCGAATATATTTCAAGCTCTAACGTCATTTATCGTAGAAAACGTATCGTGTTAGGTTTTTTTTGTCGCGGTAAAACCATATAAGACATAACATAATGTACTAAAATGAACGAGGAAACACGTACGTATTAAAATTCTCAGAATAGTTTCCTTTACTGTGACTGAATACGACGAGGCGCTGGGAAGGCGGCAGGTTCTGAACAGCAGTGCTCGAGGACGATTTCCCGGGAAAACCACGAAATGGCAGCCGACGAGTCCGACCGCTCCTGGAGAAAGGTCGTCTGCCGTTCGGAGATTTTCCTGGGGATTCCTGGAATCAGCACTGCGGGCTCACGCAGTGGTACAGGCAGAAAGGAAAAAAAAAAAAAAAAAGCCGCAATTTCGCGAAAGCGATCCTCGAGATTTAGCCCCAGTACAAGCGGAGTGGTTATCTAGCTAATTAGAAAGCAAATACCTCCGCGCATATGTACGCGTGTGTATTATCGACTTTCTGTTATAAAAGAAAAGAAATCGCGAAGGAAAAGGGGATACAAAATGCGTGGCTAGTCAACCATATTAAATAGAAGGAGCATACTCGTGATTTGGCGGGGATGGAGGATCAAAGAGGGTTTTGAGATGGGAACTTCCTACGGTCGGCGGCGGATCAGGTCGCTATTCTCCGCGCGTGGCATGTGCTCGCCACCCAAGAGCTCGAGCTGATTCGCCGATTGCGAAGTGACCCATATTAAAGGTATCTCTATGCTCACCGTGTGAACGGGCTATGAGATTGTGAAAGTGACATACGTGTGTCTATAGCACAGATACAGGGCAGCACTTAGTCAGCGTTATAGACCGTTTTCGCTTACGGTGGCCATATTGAAATATGACGTCGTGGGGGTGGTGACAAAAACTATACTATGTTTCACATTGTGTTGTACCGCAGGAAAGGCTACAAGCGCGAGCTCCTTGTTCTAGAACACATCTCGGCGGCACAAGCTCTCGTGCACCAAGGGCAGTAGCCAACGCTATGAGCTCGCGCTTCTAGCCTTCCCTGCGGTAGAACATAAGGTGAAACGGAGTATAGACTAAGCATAACTATAATAAAAAAAAAAAAGGCATAGCCAAGATGAAACTAGAACTATTGGCATGGACCTTTTGAATTCTAGCTCCTTACAATTGGCAAATACAGTGATTTTCTATTTCGCCCCAACTCAGTTACGTCAAATTTCAACAAGGCGGCCCCCACACAAAAACGGCCTATACACGATTACAAGCGAGGCGACTGGCCGCTGCCATGTCTCTGCTCGTGCGGACAAGCCCGTGCCATTGCAAGCTTGCCAAAGCTTGCAACGGCTTGGGCAGCTTGGGGCACCAGTCGGGGCGCAATGCTTGCAAATTTCTGTATACAGATTACTGAGTTCGCGCTAGATAAGCGCTATAGTTCAAATCTTACTTGGTCTTTTCCTGCGTACGCTCAAAATGCAGCGCTGACATAGCACTGTGAGGCGCCGAGTTTGTGTTCTTTAAAGCGGTACGGAAACGAAATAACGTGAGCGCGAGCTGTCTATCTATCGCTTCAAAGTCTGCCAGCGAGAAGCGCAATGCGTATCGTGCTCGTGACGTCAATAGTTCCTGCACAGCCAAGGGTACTGTAGTGGCGAGCGTTGCCGCTTGGTGGCGTCAACGTGTGACAACCTCGCCTAGTAGTAATGTCCGGGGGCTGTACGAAGATCGCGCGCTTTATCGAGCTTGCTGTCCCTACAGCTCAGTGTTTACTAACACATGTCATAACAAAGAAATTGAACCTCGCCTAGCAAGCTCTGGGCACGAGCGCTACTCAAGCTCGTTGGCTCTGACCAACGAGCTTGAGTCTTACCTTAGAGCGGTAAACCGAAACCCACTGCCTGCAGCGGAAATGGCACCCCCCCGGTTGCCGCCATCTTGCCTGTTTGCCACATTAGTGATCACGTGACGTTAAGATGGCTGCGCCCAAAGGTGGGGCAGATCAGATTGGCCAGATCGCGGTCAGCAGATGGGCACTCTGGGGCTGCGTTCGAATCTTACTCGAATGGCGCCGAGTTAATCCGACGGATCAAGTCACGTGACGAGACAGATGCAGCAACGCTAGACGCGGGTAGGTTTTCGAACGCAACGGGTGCGAGAACTTCACCCAGGAGTGAGATAGATGCTGCGTTCGATTTACTTGCAGCTCCTGCACCGGTGCAGAAAAGTGTGGGGCGGTGTACTTCCGGTCGTATCTCAATACATATACCAGAAATAGACTGCCCTACACTTTTCTGCACCGGCGCAGGAGGTGCAAGTAAATCGAACGCAGCTTTTATCTCACTCTTGGGTGAAGTTCTTGTACCCGTTGCGTTCGAAAACCTACCCGCGTCCAGCGTTGCTGCATCTGTCTCGTCACGTGACTTGATCCGCCGGAGTAACTCGGCGCCATTCGAGTAAGATTCGAACGCAGCCCCAGAGTGCCCATCTGCTGACCGCGATCTGGCCAATCTGATCTGCCCCACCTTTGGGTGCAGCCATCTTAACGTCACGTGATCACTAATGTGGCAAACAGGCAAGATGGCGGCAACCGGGGGGGTGCCATTTTTGACCGCTGGTTTACCGCTCTAAGTTTACTCAAGCTCGTTGGCTCTGACCAGCGCTTCAGTTGCACGAGGAGCGGCCTTCGAATCTTCATCTTCAATTTATCGGATAAAAAAAAAGAGGTTTGTTGTCCTCACAGTTAAAGCGTACCACTAGAGGCGTGGCTATTCGATCTCCTCCCCATACTTGTCCGTAACGTCATTCGCGGCTATGGCTGTATTTTATATCCTCAGATCAAGCTCCTACCTAACGTCTGCAAAGAACGGCGATCTTGACGGTGTGGAATGCACGTTGCGGGAGCACTGTGGAAGCTTTAAGATATACAACGTAGTTAACGTCTCGGCGTTTTCTGCCAAGTGACATTCAGGACTAAGCAGGCTCCAGGAGCGAACCATACTGCCGCAAACTGGCGCTGCTTCTCTGGAACTCGCGACATGGCGGCATTCTAACCCCCCATTCACACTGGAAGCGGATCCGCGTTCGCGAAGCGGTTGCGAAAGCGGTTGTATAAAGATCCAGTGCAATTGCACGCGCATTTGATGTCATCGTGTGCGCGTGCAATTGTACTGAATCCTTATACAACCGCGTTCGCAACCGCTTTGCGAACGCAGATCCGCTTCCAGTGTGAATGAGCCCTAACGGAGCTTCACAGACCGCAACCAGACGCAATTTTGAAATATTTTCATTCGTTTCAAAATTATTTTTCTTTACTTTTCTACCGGCTCAACAAACACTAGTCTAGGGTAGTGTTACTGGGCTGCCAGCTCAACATGGACCACAACTAAATAAAGAACTAAGTGAAAACATTTCGTTTCTGTATCTTTTTAGGCCGGAGTCACACTGCTCATACCCCCATCGTACAAAAGACAGTCTGCAAACACCGTGGTTCGAATGCCGTGTGCCCAAGTTTCTCCTTAAACATATTTCTATAAGGCATTCGAAGCTCGGATCTCGCGCTGACTCGCGTTAATCTGTGTGCAGATTGTCTTTTGTATGATCAATAAGCAGTGTGACCCTGGCTTTAACATATGAACTGGCCTTAATGATGAAAGCGCGTTTATACCGTGTGCGTGTTCTGACCTGCCTAACTCTGAAATGCATGTCCTCTGCTTTCGCAGGTTCTGTCAGCATGCGGCCTTCCAACTGGTGCGCGTCGGCGCTGGTGCTCACGTGCGTCCTTCTGTACCTAAGCGCCGTGAAGCACGTGCGCGGGCAAAGCACGGGAGGCAAGAAGCGGGAGGAGTACTCCTACTACAACCACGAGGAGATGACGGCCTTTCTGCGCAAAGTGAGCACCAACTACCCGGACTTCACCAGGCTCTACAGCGTCGGAAAGTCCGTTCAAAGTAAGCCACGCGTCCATCTTCCACAAAAAGACAAATCTACTCCATTACCATACTTCGTTTCACCTTAAAGGCCGACCTACAGAATCGTCTTCTGCCGGACAGAAAACTGGATCCCCGTTTCCTTCTCTCCATGCCCTCTCGCACTCTTCTCTCCTCTTCCCACGGGATCGAGTCTCTGAGCTACTCCCAGCAGAAAGGTGGAGGAGCTCCCTCTTTCTCGAACGGAAAGAGGGAATTGAGGGAGAGTTTCCGCCTTTCTGGCTGCTCGCCGGCCTTCAATTCAAGACGCAGCCGACGCCACGAGCCGATGAGACCAGTCAAGCAGTGTCAAAAGTGCAACGTCATGATGTTCGTCAAGTCTCGTATACGAGCAATCATGTACAGGAAAGACTCAGTGATTTGCGCTTTTCGCGCTGTTCCATTGGTCCCATCAACTCGTAGCATCGGCTGCGTCTGGACTTGGTGAAATGAAGTATAGAGCTATATACCTTAGAAAATCATCCCATACTTCGTTTCACCTTATGTCCGAGCGCGGCCGATGTTGTGAGCCGAAAAGCCAATCAAGCAGCGAAAAAGGCACACCGTCATGGTGTGCTCTCTGCACGTAAGAGGACCAGCCGTTGTTCGCCGTCTCTTTGTGCGTGCTCGCCCGCCGGCTCGTCGTATCAAGCGAAAAGAGCGCACCATGACGTCGCGATTTTTACGCCGTTTGATTGGCCCTTCCGTTCATAACATCGGCCGCGCTTGGACCTAAGGTGAAACGAAGTATAGGCAGAAGCCTTTTTGGGAGGCCGAAAAATTTCGGTGCAATCGCTTATGTGCCGACACTCCGTTACCGCTGTCTGAAACTCCAATGAGAACGTCATTCTTTGTCTCCGTGGTCCCGCTATCGCTTACGCCAACCGACGACGGCAATTGTCAACATTTGGCAGGGTCTCGTGTTCCGACTGACATAAAGCGAGGCCCAACCCAACGCTGCCGTAGCACTCGTCTCCAACCTGTGACCCGAGCTGACCGCTAGTAGATGACTTATCAAATTCAGTCTTACAATTTATAGTATCCATGAGCTAAAGAAACGTGGGTCGTGGCTTATTGATTAATTGTCTGACAGTCTATTGGCAAGTGCTGTACTCTGATTGGCTAAGGAGCGGTAATGAGATGCCGGGGACCTGCCCCCCTTTCCGTCGTTCTTAAGCTGTCGGCGGCTATAAGTGGTTTTGACTCGGGCAGTTGACTAATAGGCCTTCTTTAAAAGTGCGCGCCATCTTGTAGCGGCTGGGCAAATTATCTGGGTCCGCCATTGCTTGGGTACGTACTCTGGGCACGCATTGGACGCGAGGGCTGCTCCAGCGTTCTGCGAGGAATCGGAGCCAATCGCGCGCTTCGTGCCCAAGAAATGGCCAGCGCCGCCAATGTTGCTCGATGAACTTTGGAAGAAGGTCTATTGCCGAAAGTGATTTTGACTATCTTTCAGTATCAAAGGTTCAGTTGCGAATCACCAGGTCCTGCTTGACTTGAAAGGGGCACTGAAGTGCTTTTTGAGACCCTCGTTTTATGATCATAACTCAATCTATGAGCTCCAAGCATCCTAATAAAAAAAGACGCAATTACATTAATGCGCGGCGCTTTGCATGTTTAATAAGTGATCCAATTTCAGTTCCCTACACTTATCACTTCTTTAATACGCAAATCGGCCTGGTATGAATGTAACCGACGTTTTTTTTGGTGCTTAGAGCTCGTAGATTGAATTATGACAATAAAACGAGGACACTTTATAGTGACCCTTGAATGAATAGAAACTATATCTGTGTTTTAGACCTTGACTCCGGCAGCTTGCTTCTTTCTGCAGCAGCATATTCGACCTGCTCTAAAAGTTTAGTAGGTACAGGGTTATTAAACCACAATTTCTCACCATGAAAGGCACTGTTGAATTCGCATTTTTAAGATGATTTATGATAAGGTTGTCAATGCAGCTGTTCATTCGCCGCAACTTTTAGGCGCTGTTAGCTTTCATGGTTTATCCCGGGTAAAGTCGCTCTCAAGGTCTTTTTTATTTGTTGGCTTTGTTCCATACATCGCCCGTTACAAAAGCGCGATTCGATTATTAAAAAAAAAAAGGCTGGACCAATCTGCAATAGATAATATTTTATGACATTACCACTTTTTGACGAGCAACCAAGCCCACTATAGTCGATGACAAGCTAAAAATAAAGTGGTAGCTCCTCCCACCTCTTTCCACTTTAGCAGAGCGAACGCTGGCGAGGAGGTCGCCTCCTTTCCAGCGTTCATTCTGCCAAAGTGGAAAGAGACAGAAGGAGCTTTCCCTTCACTCTTAACCTGTCATTGACTGTAGTGTGTGCGTAATTGTAACGTTGATTGTGATTTTTTTCTGCTTTGTACGTATTTTTTTAATCCTAAGACAATGTACCATATTTTAGGCTTAGTGTTTCTTGTGTACACTATTATAAATATTGTTAGAATATTATGGAAAAAAAATTTGAAGCCCCCTTCCAACCCTGGTCAAACCATTCGCTTAAGTTGTTTGCGCCTTTGCTGACTCGCTTCTGCCTTTCCAGACCGGGACCTCTGGGTTCTCCTCATCACCAAAGAGCCGCACGAAGAGACGCTGCTTAAACCCAACGTCAAATACGTGGCCAACATGCACGGCAATGAGGTAAGAACGGTACAGACATACCGAGCTAAGCGCGTCGTATTTTATTCCCCAGTCACTCGGCAAACTACGGGTAAACGCGCACGTTGGTTGCCAATGGAAAAAAAACAATGTCCTATACGGGTAAAGCCGCTTAATATTTTTACCGAAACGTTGGTTCTGCCTGCGTTGCGTTTCATTGCGGGCAGCCCCAACAGAGAAAGTTCATAGCTTTTTTATTTCTTACGTTGATTGCTGCCAGACGTTGCCAAATTGCTGCTATTATTTTGTACCACTTGTGTTTTAAATTACGAGAGAATAATTATTGATGGGGTTTATACTAAGACATCACAATCTTCAGTACAGCACGTTAACCCCGCTTCGAAAAGAAATGAAATGAATCGCGTTTCTTATTTTGTTTTGGAAATGGATCATGAAACGCAGAGGTCGAGTGTATAAAAAATAACGATTATTCCGCGCGTGGCATAGTACTCGCGGGGCATTTTACTATGAAAAGTATATTCACAAGTGATTGTCGTATGGGGAAGCCATGCAAGCTTGAAGAATATCGCGCCAAAGGCACAACAAGGCAAACGACTTTCCCTTCCCTACAAAGACACATTTCCCTTCTTACAAAGACACCAAAGCGACTGTATTTTTCGGACTAGAGACAGTGCCACGTGTATAGTCCACATGGCCAAAGTTCGGCTGAATAAAAAACAAAAAGTTTACATTTTGTGCATAGATTACTCCTCGTGCACATTGCGCAAATAAAACAATTTTCCCACACTATGACTCTGGGACATTCTCTAGAAAAAAAAAATGAAATATCAAAATTCTAATTTATTTGCAATTTATGACACGCTGGCAATTAGTCATCGGGGACATTGCGATCTTTTGTCAAGAAAAGCAGAAATTGATAATTTTGTGAATGTAGCCCATAGGTAATTCAATGAAACAAATTTGGTAGAGTAGTGGAATAAAAGCTAAATACGCCCGGAAGTTGAATTACTGCTTATTGATATTTTATGACTGATAGGATAGCTAATATATCCCCGGGGAACATTGCGATGTTTTTTGTTCTCTTGAAATTCTCATTTTATTGCATGCACCCACGCCTTGGTATGAAAGTAAGTTGGGGATGAGTACACCTTGGCACATGTCTGCTTTATTAGGGCACAAATAAGCTTGTACTATACAGAAGTCAGTATTAACATAATATGTCGTTAACAAAAGCAACACGCCCCTTTATAATGACCATTCTTAAACACAAAACCTCGTATAGACCGCACCAGTAGATAGTCTGCACCACGTACAATTTTAACTTTTATACCAGCATAGTTCGCGAAGTATATAGTCCTCAAAATACGATGTAAAGTTCCTTGCTATATGTGACTTATACGGGTTTGTTTAAGGGTTCGCAAACAGAACATCCACTTGGTTGAAGAGTGTACGCGAAGCAGATGGGGGAAATGTTATTCTTGCTTCTGCTCATGCAGTAAAGATCCGTTTATTCTCACTCGTCCTAAACAAAAGCAAGTCACTAGACTGATATACTAAAAGAGCACGACAGATGTTCGAGTCCTGCCGTCACTAACTGTTCTTTTTTTTTTTTAATAACTCCTGTTGTTTTTTGAGTGTGTGTTTGTTACGAATTTGCTTGAATCTGGAAAGAAACATGCTTCGGGTCGTTTGCTACCGTTGAATTCTCCCAGAATCGACGAACTCATCCGCACACGTAGTGAGTTTAGTGAACGTCCCTATGCCCTTAATGGTTAGGAAAACTATGGCTTAACCTGCGCTTTGTTAAATACTTTGATTGTGGGGAGATAAATTAACAATTTTCCACTTTTGTTGTGCGACTGTTTATGGACGAAATCCTGGTTACAATCGAGCATGCGTTTACACGAATAGAAGTGCTTTTTCAAAAGGATGCACTTGTGCTTGGTGTCTTGGGCTACAATTTTGATATACGCCAAACTACAAATTCAGCACAACTGGAACATGCAGGACTATTCGCAAAAAATATCGATAGTACATGGACAGTTGACTATCGTGAAATATTTTGTAGTCAGATATCGTGAAACTATCGGTAGTCAACTACCGTAATGCTATTGATAGTATTTTGTTAGGTCACAAAGAACGCCGAGAGTCTACCAAGAAAATGTCGTGAAACTTGGAGAAAAACGTAACTGCTATTTGGGACTTTCGCATAATTATCGAGGAACAATCTAAAGCCTGTTGAAATATAATCGGAAATGGTTGAAATCATTCTTAGAAACTATTGGCAATAAACTATTGAAAAACTATCGATTTACTATCGAAAAACTACGAATAAGAGCTATCAACTTGATAAGTTATCGAAGGTTTTTGTCTTTCTTTTAGATTGCTTTTCGGGGTGTGCCCTTTGCTTTTTATAGGCAGAGTTTTATATTAAAAAACTGTAAACCCCTTAGTCGCTTTTAGTAAGTACACAACGCGTCGCAGAATTTCGGAATCCTGCTTGAATATAGGATGCTAGCGATGGGGATCGGAGGCGCAAGTATGGGGACGTGGCTTTGCCCGAATACAAAGATACGTGTGGCGTGTTTTTCGAACCAAAATCGGTTGAGAGAAAGAAAGGAAACAATGTTGGATCTTTTCACAGAAACAATTCATCACTGCCAACGATATCTTTACTTGGATCACAAGAAACTTCCGTTTTTATCTTCTATTTTTGATCCAGTTAACGTAATCTATACAAACTTATTGTATTTGAAGAATAAAAAAAAAAGAGAGAAAAGCATCAGTAATTAACTAACCATGTTAGCTTGATATTAACTTATTATAAGGTAATGCACAAGTTGATGTCTCCACAACAAAATCTCGGCTACATTTATTCATTAAAATATGTTTTTATAGATTAAGGTACGGCTTCTATATTTTGAAGCTGTCTTTTGTACCAACCCGTAAATAATTTACCAGCCGTTAATAAAATCTGCCAAAAAAGAACCCAACAAAAAGTGGCAACATATTACGACAAAAAAGCCTAACTGCTTTTGTGAACAGTCAATTTCCGGTTGTCGGGAATTCACTATGAATTGACATCAGCAAAAAACAAAACACACACAAAAAAAATATCCCTAGCAGGGTTCTAATTTTAACATGTCAGGGGTCAAGCTTATGACAAGTAACACGGGACAATTAAATCGTAAAGGAAACACAAGCGTAAAACAAACTTGCTAAATGTTTTCAGTAAGTGTTTTCCCTAGTCCCAAGACAAAGAAAAATACTGAATATTCTTTTTTGGTTTTACAAATTAGGGCATACTAAAGTGTGAAGCCTGATAAGTGAAACCCCTTGAATATGCAGAATGTGTGCAAAGGAAAATGAGCCAAACGCCATCTCTGTTTTATCTCTAAGTTAATTGTATGAGTATGCAAGTTTCTGTTTTGTTTCTTTTTGATTTCATGTTTTCCCAGAACCCCGCGTTGTCTGCCCCGTACATATCCGTCGTGATTCCATTTTTGTGTGGTGCTCTTATGATCGTAACACGATAATTTTCTAAAAACTGACTTCAGATAACATCGATAGTCAACCGAGAGTCAACTGTAGATATATTATGGATAGTACTACCGGTTGCACTATCGATTGCACTATCGATAGTACTATCGAGGGTCAATTATTTATAGTGAACTGTCGACAGTAAACTATCGATAATGGCTATCCATGGTACTATCGATAGTCAGCTATCGATAATATTATCGATGTAACATCAATGATCCACGATATATAGTTTTCGACACTATCGATTGTTATATACAAAAGAAAACTGTTGATAGTATTGATGATAAATGTTTCGATTGTTTTGCATCTTTAGTGTACACATTAAGAAATTATCGTTCTACGAGAGTCCAGCTGATCATGTACCGAAAGTTTTAGGGTTAGGAGTAATATGACGGAGCGCACGGAAGTCAATAAACTGTAATAAGGTGGTGAACTGGGCCAGTTGGTTGACGCTATGCATGATGGGGAAAACAGCTCAGAAAACGCGCACTACGAAGAGCAAACACGACAGGACAATGCCGTACTCGCAGCAACTGAAGAATTCCAATGAAGAAAACCAAGACGGAAATGTTTTATGTTTTGTATGCTTTTTTCTGTCTTTGTTTCCTTCATTTGAATTCTTCATTTGCGAATACAGCATTGTCCTGTAATGTTTGTGATTTCTTCGTAGTCCACGTTTTCTGAGCTGTTTTCCCCATCATGGCACGGAAGTCAGAGCCCTTCGGTTTGCAGAACAGTCCTTAAGACACAGAGAACTTCTGGAGAACCGTTCCGTTCCGAAGAAATTCATAAAGAACATTCCTGAGGAACATTACTGAAGAACATTCCTAAACGACATCCCTGAAGGACATTCCCTTCCGGAGAACATTCCCTTCTGGAGAACATTCCGTTCCGAAGAACATTCCTGAAGAACATTCCTGAAGAACATTCCTGAACGACATTCCTGAAGGACATTCCCTTCCGGAGAACATTCCGTTCCGAAGAACATTCCTGAAGAACATTCCTAAACGACATTCCCTTCCGGAGAACATTCCTTTCCGAAGAACATCTGAGCAATAGTCCCGCGGCGAGAAATTGTTTTAGCACATGCGAAAGTGCGTGTGAATGCTCATCTAGAGAAGATAGGATTCGTTTGAAAGCTCTAAAGGGCAAATGTTTTCGGATAAACTTTACTTTTAGAAACAACACATTTTATTTAATAATTAAATTTTAATTAGCAGGACTATTACCAACCGCATATCTATGTTCATAACAATGCTCGCTCCTCCGACTTGTTACAAGGCCTAATTGGCCATCGCCCCCCAATGTCACACAATAGCGACCACAGTCATATCATCGTATGAAAAGATAGCTCTTGCTTAGATTACTCGTTAGGCGTATATACTCTCGGCAGAGCTGCGAGAGAATAACCAGTAAAGAAGGGTGACTGACTTGCTCAGCCTTTGCCGAAGTTTAATTATCCTGGGATTCGTTTTGAC